TTCTTTATCTGTTCTGGTGGGCGGGGACAGAGGGGCGGGAACGGGGGCGGGGCCCGAGGCGCGCGTAGCCCGAGCGGGCAATGCCATTGGCTGGCTCTGCCGGGTAGCGCGTGCGCGCGGCCGCCTGGGGCTTCACCCCGCCTAGGGTGGCCCCCCGAGAGAGCATGTGTAGCCCGCTAGTCCCCCGAAACGGGTGAGCGCGGTGGCTGCAGTTAGCCGCCATTAGTCCGGGTGCCCCACACCTGGTCACAGTCTTAAGCGCCAGAGCGCGCTGTAGTATTAGCTCTTTGCTTCCTCATACCGACACTTTCCGGTAGGTGTCCGAATGATCCCCGACAGATTGAAAACTGACGGAATGGAGACTCGGAAATGGCTCTGCTGCTCGCTAGTACCCTGCAGCTGGAGTTGCGCTGTCCAATAGGGATAGGATGCGAAGCACATGTGTACTTCTAAATGTTCCAGGAGCCACGTAGAAACAAGTACGAAGCAGCAGGTGAAATAGTGTTAAGTAGGTGTTTGATGTAACCCACTTAACCGACATATTTTATTGCACCATGGAGACACTACCGAGAGATGATGGAGGCAGGTGGTGTGTGCTGGTTGGTGTTTTTTTCCGTACCAACTCTTCCTTCCCCGGTGTGTACTTTACGCTTTTTGCACATCTCCATTAGAACCGAGGATCCCTGGTAGCAGAGTGGCTAACTGCTCAACCGCTAGGTGAAAGGTGGGCGGTTCGGCGCCGCCAGCGGCTCTGCGGGAGAAAGACCCGGCGGTCTGCTCCCGTCAAGATTTCTGCCTAGGAAACTATGGCAGGTCTACTCTGTCACACGTCGAGTCGCTATGAGTCCTAATCGACCCCAGCACACAACAGTTTGCACTAGCCCCTTGTCCAGTGCTCAGTAGCCTCGGGCCGCGCGGTGGCTGCCAGATTGGACCCAGAGAGTATAGAGGCCCCTCACTGGTTTGCGCTGTACTGGTCTGTCTTTAAGGAGCTCTCTGGCACAGCGGTTAAAGCACTCGGCTGCCAACCCCAAGGTGGGAAGAAAGATGAGGCACGTTAAAGCCTTGGAGGCCCTGTGGGCAGTCCCACTCTGTCCTCTAGGGGCGCTGTGGGTCGGAGTCCATTCCACCGCCGAGGGTGCTTTGGTTTTGGGTTTTGCTCCGTCTTCAGTGCTCCGCTCACTCGGATTTCAGGGCCGGATACCAATCTTCACTGTAAGCGTGGAGCTTCACGGACGCTACCACTTGTTTCTGGACTAAACGTTTCATGACTGAATTAGCACCACAGTGAGTCAATAATTGCACCTTTGATAGGTTTTGTGCATTCTCTATCTTAACCCTGGTGAGTTGGGACATAGCTTGAACGTGACAAGCCTCTGTCCACATGACAGTCATCCGCCAGGGCAACATTATGGGGGTCTCATGGAAGAACTCCCGGCTGGGGTTAGTCAGTGCCGAATGGGGAGGCTACAGTTTCCATCTGCAGCAGGGTGAGTTTGAAAGAGGCCCAGGAGTCGGTGCTGCCCTGCTCACCTGATGCCCCCAGACTCTTGTGGCTCCAGTCGCCTGGCCCAAACCCTTGGCCCTCTTCCCACCGTCACGCTCACTGGCACAGCCACCAGCTGCCTAGATTAGCTCGCCCCTCTTCTGCCCGCAGCCAGGCAGCTGACCACAGCAGGAAATAGAAGCGCTTCACGCTGCTCTCAGAAACCTCTCCCCTGAGCCTGTTTCTTACTTGCTGTTTTATGACCTGAGCCCTTACCGCTTGCTTGATTTGGAATACAAGCAATCAGAAGAGAGCCTGCACACCCCCTCACTACTGCATCGAGCGGCCCGCCCACCAGCAACGGTGCACACGTATTTTGCTTCTCTGCCTTGGTCCTTGAATGAAACACCCATGCTGTTGTGGGCTGAATGGTGTTCCCCAGAAAGATCTGTTGAAGTTCTAACTTCTGTACCGGTGAACGTGACCTGGTCTGGGAAAGCAGGACTTGACTTGGCAGATATCAGTGAAATGAACAAAGTCGTAGGATGGGTCTGAATCCTAACCCCTTCTGAGAGCACGGACAGGGAGACGGCCACACACAGGAGCGCAGACACCACGTGCTGATGTTGGTGCGTGCTTCTACAAGTAGCAAGGGGATGCCAAGGATTGCCCGTGAGATTTTGCAGATGGCACAACCTTGCTTGCTGCAAGTGGAGAGGACCTGAAGCACTTACTGATGAAGATCAAAGACTGCAGTCTGCTGTCTGGATTGCACCCCAGCATAAAGAAAACAAAAATCCTCACAACTGCGCCAATAAGCCGCATCACAATAAATGGAGAAAACATGGAGGGTGTCAGGGGTTTTGCTTTACTTGGCTTCACAATCGCCCTTGGAAGCAGCAGTCAAGAACTCTGAGCACATACTGCACTGGACAGATCTGCTGCAAAAGCCCTCTAAAGAGCAAACATGTCACTTGGAAGACTAAGATGCACCTGAGCCAAGCCGAGGTATTTTCAATCACCTCCTATGCATGCGAGAGCTGGACAATGAATAAGGAAGACCAAAGAAGAGCTGGTGCTTTTGAGTTGTGGTGCTGGCGAAGAATGCTGAAAGTGCCACGGACTGCCAGAAGGACGAACGCATCTGTTCTGGAAGAAATGCAGCCGAATGCTCCTTGGAAGCGAGAATGGCCAGACTTCATCTCACCTACATTGGTCATGTTGCCAGAAGGGACCAATCCTTGGGAAAGGATGTCATGTTTGGTAAAGTGGAGGTTCAGCAACAAATGGAAAGACCCTGAATCAGATGGATTGAGACAGTGGCTGCAGTGATGGGCTCAAGCCTAGAAGGGGTTGTCAGGATGGTGCAGGACCAGACAGTGTTTCATTCTGTTCTTTATGGGTCGCCCGTGGCCCTCAGCCTCTGCCTTGCTGGGATAAGTGTTACAAAGCTCTTTCCTCTTTGCCCAGAGAAGCACTGCACTCTGCCAGCAAGCCTCCTGCCCAAAGGCACTCAGCTTTTTCACTCTGTGGGCCACAAAGCCTGCTGCTCTGTCTCGTGCTGGTCCCCTGGTTCCACTGCCTCTGTTGCCACCAGCTCTACCATCTCAGCACAGGGATCTTGGGTCCAAGGACAGGCTCCACTCCTGGTTCCTTTCTCTTGATGGCAGTGGGATTCCCCCTTCCACCTCTGAGATGGCTTATGATGCAGTGAATGACTTGGTCTGGCTCTTCCAACCATGATCTTTGTGACTCCCAGTAGATGACTGGGTGAAACTATGCCAATGTAAGGTGCTTGTGGCCCACCAAGGGGATTGGACAGTCTGCTAGTAATGTAAATAAGGTACTTGGCACCCTTGTGGGGGGGAACCATAGAAATAAAGTGTATGGAACCCCAATGTGGGGATTGGCCACTTTTGTCCTTCTGCTAGGCTTAAAGTGAGCCCAGTCAGAGGCGGGAAAGGGAGGTGTCACTGCCACGAAGGCAGAAGAGCTGGAGGCGGAGTGGAGTACATCCTCAGACCCGACGCCCCTGCCCTGGGCCTCCTTGGCGGAGTGACTGGCAGCGAGTCAGCAGAGACACAGCAGCAGAACCAGGAGACTGGCATAAGACAGAGTGGTGGGCTTGCTGGCCCACTGAGCATGAAATCTGAGAGCCTCTGGGATGGACTCTTGCTGGCAGAGTGGGGTACACCTATCGGCAGAGCTAAAACAGCAACACTTGAGGCCAGGCGAGAGACCAAGGGCCAAAGAGAGATGTGCCTCCGGTCATGGCAGAGGGGAGGCTATTCTGATTGAATAATTGTATCCTGAGTACATTCCTGAGCTTGAATTGTAACCTGTTTCTTCTCTAGTAAACCCCATAATTGTGAATATTTTCTTTGAGCTTTGTGTGGCCTTTGCAACAAATTATCTTATCAAACTCAGCAGAAAATAGTGGGATGGTTGGTGAAGGAGTTGGTAAAACGTTGGAGGGAGGCAGCATATCTGGCCTCCTAACAATAAGCCTTGGGCTGCAGATGGTGCTTCTCTCCCCCTCCTGAAGTTAAGAGTAAGAGGAAGACGAGGACACTGCCACCACCACTGCCACCAGCACAGCCTGCGTACCCTCATTGAAGCTCAGCGTAATGATAGACCTGACCCATCCCCATTTTAGGGTTCCATGTACCTTATTTGGGAGCTCTGGTAGCATAGTGCCTGAGGCACTTGACTACTAACCAGAAGGCTGGAGGTTCAACTCCACCAGCCACTCCTCAGAAGGAAGGTTGGGCAATCTACTTCCGTGATGATACTGCCTCAGAAACCCAAGGAGGGGTTGCTATGAGTTGGGTCCGACTCGGCTTGCACATAATAACAACACCCACAAGTGTGCCTGTGCCTTATGCACATCACTAACAAGCTACCCGGTCTTCTTGGTGGGCCACAAGCACCTCACATTTACATAGACCCACTCAGTCATCTGCTGGGAGTCCCAAAGACCGCGGCTGAAAGAGGTGACCAGGTCATTCACTGCACCACACCCTCCCCTGTCCAAAGCCCTTCAGTGGCTTCTTATCTGTAGTGAGCTGAATGGTGGCCCCAAAAAACAGGACTCCTTCCTAGCTCCCAGAACCTGTGACTGTCACCTAATAAGAAAAAAGAGGTCTTTCCAGATGTATTTCTAATGTTAAGCACTACATGCCTCAGGGAACAATTACCAAGCCAGAGACAGTAGGGTGAGCTTGCGAATCAGTGCAAAAGTAGAAATTTACACTCTGTCCCAGCAAACATCTGGGCACTATTCAAACAAACCAACCAAACTCACCCCGCTGAGTTGGATCCAACTCATAGCGACCTCTCCTTGGGTTCCCAAGGTGGTGTATCTACGGAAGTAAATTGCCACATCTTCTGAGGAGTGGCTGGTGGGTTTGAACTGCCAGAATTCTGGTTAGCAGTCAAATGCCTCAGGCACTATGCCACCAGAGGGACTATGGAAATGTGAGGTGCTTGTGTCCTGCCAAGGGGCTGGATAGCTTGGTGTGTTGGTTCTCTAGTGTCTGAAACAGGGGATACCACAGATGGGAGGTTTCCACAAACAGGAGTTTATTACAGTTCAGGAGGCTATGATTCCAAATTCATAGTGCTGGCTTGAGAGGCTGGGTGAAGGCCCTTCGACCATGGGCTTCAGCTCTGCCTCTTGCTCCCAGGTTGCTGGAGCTGGACGTGTCTCTTCACTCAGGCAGCTGTTGGCTGCTGAG